GTCAACCGCTAATGAGCAGTCATCATTGCGTGTACAATATCCTTTTTTAGGATTGTATTTATTGTTATCGTTAGCATGGAACGATTGCCAAAACAGAAGACGATCCCCACCAGATCCAGAGGAAGAAAGAAAAATCCCTCTTGGCAGGATTTCTTTCTCATTCCAATAAATTAAACTTGAACCGACATCGGTCATTGGAAGTTAAATTTTGTTGAATAACAGAAGTCACTGGAAGTGATAATTTTAAAAAAACATTATTTCCTAATGATATTGATAATATAGAGGAAAGAAACTTAAAACCACAATAGAGTTATATTCATAAACAAAAATTTATCTATTGCATTAAAGTCAAACTGGAACCAATCATCAACCGTATATATTCCAACACTAGATATCTTAAAAGTGGTATATATGGAAGATTTCAAATATACGATGTAAAATAATAACGTACAGCTTAGTATAACAGTCCTAACATTACTTTATTCTCAAAACTTTCCATCCATTCTTAGCAGTTCCTTTTCATAATTAAGTGATCTCTTTATATTAAGTTAGTGTGCATTCTCAATAAATGACGGCGATCTCTAACCAAAAGCTATCATCAGTGAATCAACAAGTGGGAGTCAGGTATTTTTGTGCAAGTATTTACTATCTTAGAATCTCAACATTATCTCCTGACAACTGTCTTGATAAAAATAACTTATCACTCAAACTGAAGACCCAAATAAACAGCACAAACTATTAAAACACTGATTTAGGAATATTCCAAAAGAAATACGTGGAAAAACAAACTCTCTGTACGGAGATACCAGTTCACTTGAAGTTTAGGACTCGCATTATACATGAGTATGAATAAAGCCGCAGAAAACTAACTTTGAACATTATAAATCTATCCTAGAAAAATATATAAACGAAGACAAAGAACGTCACTTTTGTTTCAAAGAACAGTGGTTGTGAACATTAAACCATAGTTTACAAAAAATTATTGCATGAGGAGGAATAGTTTCATCTTGAACACAAAGATAAGAAGCAAAAGATTATTACCTTCACATCAAAAAGCATTCGTTAAGGATAGTAGAGAGGAGTTATGAAGCCCTATCTTACTTCGTTATTACTTTGACTCATAAGTATTCGTTAGAAGTAGCCAACCGAGACAATGTAAGCAAAGTTGACTGGTTTAAGACAAAAATATAACTGGATAAATAATATAGAGTTCAAGAACTATATTTTATTCACATTCTTAATAATGTTGAATTCCACTGGAAATTGACGATCATTATTTTTCACTATCATTTTTTCTAAGTCATAAGGATTGGTAATGATATTTTTGGAGGTCATTACCGAGAACAAACATTTGATACAAGCTTGGATTAATACTAAAAAAGTGCATCAACACAAGTATGGTAATATATGAAAATAAGTTTCAAAATCAAAAAAAAGTATGCGGACTGTTGGTCATTCAAAACAGAGCCTTTAAACATGCTTAAGTACTAATGATGAGTCGAAAGACCATGACAGACCCTTATTGTTTCTGTGTACACATTAGCCTTGAAATTTACCTTAAAAAATAAGATTTACTGCGTCTGTTTAAATGAATCTAGGTTCCAAGCCAACAACTGTTATGCTTCCTGATATAGAGACTTCATTCCATTTGTTGAACAGAACCATTTTCTGTTGAAGGGTGTATTTGAGTTTACTAAAATCTTAAAGGCTCTTTACATAAACACCTCAAACAGAGTGAGGGTGTACAACCAACCTCCTCCATCGTTCCACTTAAGCAGTGTGGTTAAACAGAATTATCGAATTTCATCATTCGTTTTCGACTTTACGATCAATGACGCTTCTGGAAACAACTCTGATGTAAGTAGATAGTCATGGTGTAAATCTGTTATCCTGAGGAGGATTTTTCGGATTTTAGAAGACGGGTGATATTGCCGTGGTGTGATGATACACAATATATGCAAATCGCACTTGGCGGATTGCCAATTAGTATCTATGGTTATGATATGCATTTTGAATCTAAATACAAGCTACTTTTAAAACACTAGAAGTGGTCTGTACCTGTACTCACACTTGCTAATGAATCATCAGATGTAGCTAAAACGTTTATGCATCTATGTAGTTGTGTTCAAGGACAGCGATGATAACTTAATTGGTATCAAACACCGGCTTTAGTGGTTTGGATACATATTACAGATGTCCCAGTGGTCTCCATGTGGTGTAGTATTTACCAACAACAGGAAGCGATGGGAAAAGCGGAGGCGATCAGTTTATAGTATGCCGCTGTGATATGAAAGAAAGCTGGGTACGACTGGCACTTGTTGATTCATGACAATATTCTGATTGGGAACCTAAAGATTGCAACACAGTGGCTTCAGATGTCATCAAACATGTCTCTGAACATGAGACATTGACGATCCTTCTGTAGTTTTATTTGATATTATTTATCAAATGTGAGAGGGACTCTCCGCAATAATTATTTCTGATTATATTTTCAATGAAATTATTTTTTCGACTGCTCTCACGGACACGTTGTAGATCTGACGTTTCACAGCCAGACGCACATCAAGAAGGCGCCAAAGGTGGCCCAGATTGGTATAAGCTGCTCTGGCTTTCACTAGACGTACATTGATCTCATCACTCACACCCTCACCAGCACTCATGCAGCTACCCAGATACACCAACTTCTCGACTACTTCTATCTGGTCTCCATCCAGGGTGAGTACAGCATTAGAATCCTGCCAGTCTTGTAGAAGTACTTCGCACCTCGTAGGTGCAAAGCACATACCGTACCTACGGACACTGATTGCCAACTGATTAAGTGCGGATCGCGTGGGTTGGGCATTATCGCACAGTAAGAAAATATCATCCGCACACTCAAGGTCGAGAAGTTTTTCCCCAGGCAACAGATCCACACTTCCATTAATTACATCCATCAGAGCTGTTTTCAGAATGTCGCCGATGGCAAAGTTGAAGAGGAATGGTGAGATTGGGCAACCCTGCCTAACCCCAATGCTCGAATGGAACAATGGAGAGAGGTGGTTGTATGCCCTCACTCTTGCTGCCAGTGGCTCGGATGTGTTAGAAGAACTTCCAGTAGTTACCAGATGCAGCTGCTACTTCCAGTTCATTAGCACGCCTCGACCACCAGGCTTCTCGGTCCTTACGCAACATCCTTCGTTTGTGGTCAAACTCACGGTCACCCAGAGTAGACCAAAGGGCTTCGACGAGTTGTAAGGAGCCTGAAGAAACCCAGTGCTTATAAGCGGGACGTTCCGCGAAGCTGCAAGCGGCCTTACTCGACATTTTCATGGCGTCATGAAGTTGCAACCAACGCTCATCTGTACTTCTCGGTGGGATGGTAGCTAGCCTAGAAGCTAGCTCGGTTCGATACTTACTTGCAACAGAAGTTGCAACCAGCTTGCTAACATCAATCCGTTGGTGGCGGTCACTTCGTTGTCCACTGAAAAGTAAGGTAAGATTGGCGCAGACCAAGGCATGGTCAGAGTCCAGATAGGTACTCCAAAAGGAGCGGCAGTCTTGTACACAACCACGCCAGCGGTAGCTGATCGCTACCAATATGGCTTAGCCCACTTGCCAATGACTTCATGGATCTGTGCCATGCTTTTGTTTGACCAACCCCAGCTTATCTCAACCTACTCCTACACCATGAAACAAATGATTGATTACTGGGTAGTGACCAGTGTCATATGCCAGATCCTGCTTAGTACAGATCGAATCCTATCGATCGAAGGCGGCCCTGATCTCGAGAAACACAATTTTTAATCTACAATAAGTATGACGGTGTTTTAACATTAGGCGGAGGGTGAAGACATGATCAATACATCCTCAATCAACATAAAATCCATCCTGCTCCTTAAGAATTAATTTTATCGGATTTTGAACAATCTTCGAAGCCAATAGTTTGAACGCCATCGGGAGTAGACTTATCCATCGACAGCTGTTGCAAAAACGACGTGAACCCTTTTTAAAAATAGGAACAACTATCGACTAATTCCATGATATTAGAACACCCTCTAATTTCCCGACCTTTGTAAACAGCTCAATCAGTTCCTTAATCAGAAAGTCTAAACCACCTTTAAAAAGGGCCAGAAGTAGGTCATTTGGGTCTGGTGATGTGGTGTTTCAGAAGTTGAATTTCCTTAGGGACTTCCGCCACGTTCGGCGGATTAGTTATCACGGGCCATGGAGACCAGGACAGTCTAATCGATTCTGCCAAGGCAGCAGAAGTTAGATGATACCACCTCTGAAAAAGAAACAACCTCAAAATCAATACCCACACACTATTTGTGAGTTAAAATATAGTCAAGTTATAATCACTAGTTGAGATCGTTAATTTTTTGTGACAGAATAATCAGAGTCAATTTTGAAATAAATAGTAAGTAAAATGGAGAAACTAGTAAATCAATTCGACATGGCCGCTGAAAGCGAAATGATCATCTCTCAGATAAAAAATGGGCTTCGACGTTACCAGAGAAAGATTTGCTTGAAAGACGTTTTTGTTGCAGTTAGCGTAAGACTTTAGATCATAATATACAGAGACTCCGAGATCATTTTAAATCTGTGATACCTCTATAAGCGAGGTACTTGAGTTATACGTGTAGTATGCAACATGTCTCAGATGGACTACTTCACGCTTTGAAGTGTTAAAAGTCCATTGTTATCTGCTCAAATTTGAAGTCGAATCAGATCCTCCAGAAGTCCCAGGTTATCCCCTTGGTTGCATATATATATCCACCCATCAAGACACAATATAAAATGATAAGGCACAAAATCATCGGGAGCTTTGTTTTGCGTAACCAGAATCAGTGAACAAGCAAACAAATACTTAAGGTTAAATAAGAACAAAGAGTCAAATTTGCTATTTATTTAACTCATAATATACATTATGGTATTCAGGTACCATTGGGATAATGCAAATATAAACTGGAGGTACGAACTGGCAACTTTTATCAAGGTATTTTTATGATTCATGAAAATATCTAAGCATCGCATGTGGGGACTAAACGGATATGGACATGAATAGCACCTTTAGTCCGCGATTCCTCTCGTATTGAAATTTTCTCATTTTCTACTTGAGATATAATCTGGAAAATAAGATGGATAAAAACATTTATTTAAAAAGACATTTGGTATTATTTTAATGGTTGGAAATCTATTGAATACGGTGCTTTTACTTCTGGGCTGACAATCCATAACAAAATATACTTTACAAGCTACGTGGTGATAACAACTACAAAAAATACCGACTCACATGTTTCTTAGTTGAACAGCTGCTCGTGTAAGTTGATATTTTGAGGTGCCCAGGGTACAATCGATGACTTAAGTGCAGAGCCAGCTCAGCTGTCCTCACAATACTAAGCGGTCCTATACCGTGAATCCAAAATTCAGGTGGTTTTGAGGGATCGGACTGAGATGAACTATGATATTTATATAATAAACGATCCACGTGACGACTTATGAAAAGCACCTGGCTCTACAAAATGCATGATCTTTTATTTGTATATTACCATAAATCCGGACTTCGTAGATATGAAGATATGCCGAGATCCAGATGAAGAAGTGTAAATATTAGGGGTTTCGCAGATGACAGCATCCTCAGTTAGCAAGTCTGTAACCTCCCAAACAGACCCACTGGGAAGGCATTCTTTATCCCTTGATGACATCTTCATTATAATCTGCCAGGTGGTATGTTAAACGACAAACGATCCCCCAATTCACCCCAACTAACACGGAAATTTAGGAAAGTAATAATCCAAACGGCAAAGACAACTGTCCAAGACAATGCTCCAATTAAACTGAAAGTGACGTCTACAAATGAAGTTTTGGTAAAAAAATTTCAGTACATTTCCTAATCAGCTTAGACTCTGGATATGTCTGTGGGGCAGACAACTCCTTTAGAAAACAAAAAACGTTAATCCACCAGAGGAAAGGAAGAAATCCGATTCCAGCTAATAACAGAATAGAATTTTAGGCAACTAGAATCATCTACCAAAGAAGTAAGTACGGCTGAGTTTGAGCTTATCTTCACCAGTAAGACGTTTTATATCCATAAAAGCCTACAAAACAAAGGATAAAAATCTAAGATGAGGAACATCGATATAATCAGTTGAACTCTCAGGTGGTAGTATTGAGTGGAATTTCGACACTTTACTAACAACTTCTAAGATATCATACAAACATCATATTATAGTGACAAATTCCTACATAATCAACGATTATGTGAAAGCATATGCTTTCGACCAAATATATTTGATCGCATGTCAATTATCTGACGTTTTAAATTCTAGTATGGATTTTTGAGTTACCTCAAGACTTCAAAAGCTCATATTAACTAACAAGCACACAGACTGTCAAAATCAAAAGTTTTCGGTCGAAAAGGCAATGAAAACTAAATGTGTTGTGTTCTAATGTAGTTTTTATCACAACTTGAATGAACTTTTACATAAGTAGTGGGGATATGGCCGTGCTAGGAATAAAAACATAACAGGCAACACCCCACAAAGTACTCAGAATACCTACAAAGGTTATTTTGTTTGCTGAACATAAACCGATTTCCTCAACACTTTGTGATGACACGCAAGGCGGGAAATGGGCGCCAATATTCAGTCTTCAGTCTTCAGTAATAAGGATAAGAGGTCTGTCGACCTATATTAATCCTTGTAGTTTGTAATACTGTGAAGGTCCAATCTCGTTTTGAATATATTAACAGACGGTGCTGATATTACGTGTTCCGGTAGAGAATTCTAGTAATTCACTACTCGGTACAAGAAACGGAACTCCAGACGTAAACGGTTTTTGAACTTTCTCCGAATGTCCTCTCAAATGATCGGTTCTAGACGGAAGCAAAAGATAAGATATGTTAATACCAAGGTCATCGTTCAGTATACGATAAGCCAATATTAGATCACCCCGTACTCTACGGTAAGATAACGGAAATAAGTTAAGGTGTCTCAGTCTGTCTTCATAAGATAGGCCAGCTAGACCTTGTACCATCTTAGTAGCTCGTCGTTGGACTCTTTCTAGCATATCTGCTTTATATTTGAAACAAGGACTCGCTGCTTGAATCCCGTATTCTAAATGTGGTCTCACATAAATCGGGTATAGTAATCCAAACATTTCATCATCTAAATACTGAAAAAGACCTACGAATTGACCATAATACCCTATAGCGTTTTGCAGCAGCAGCCTTACAGTGACTAGTCGTTTTGAGATCATTGCTTAATATAACTCCTAAGTCTTTATAGTTTCTTGCTTTGGGTAGCACGAATCCACGTAGTGTATAGTCATACGATTCATCAGAGTTATTTAACTGCATCACTACACTCTTATTAGGATTTACTTCTAGTGACCACCTGTCTAACCATGCCACCAATGAGCTAAGATCGTCCTGTAATACTATTCTATCCGACATACTATGTATGGGTCTCCAAATCTTTATGTCATCAGCGAAGAGTAGAACGGAAGATTTTGCTACAGTTGGCAATTCATTTACATAAAGTAAAAAGAGAAGAGGACCTAGGATTGTGCCTTGGGAAACCCCACCTTTTACAGGTACCCACGAGGAGAGAGCCCCATTAACCCTTACCCTTTGTCTCCTGTCATGGAGAAAGTTACTTATCCAATCGACGACTGTGTTATGGATTCCAAAACGTTTCAGTTTGAATTTAAGACCAGAGTGTGAAACCTTATCAAAGGCTTTACTTAGATCTATGAAAATTACATCCACAGGAGCATTCCGATCCTTTGCCGCAGCCCACTCTTCTCGTGCAATGAGAAGATTTGTCAAGCAAGATAGGCCTTTCCGAAAACCATGTTGTGCCCTGGAGAAAAGATTTTGCCCTTCAACATAGTTTATAACAGCTATCCGAATTATTTTCTCCATCAGATTCACAACTGCACTAGTTAAGTTACTAACTAAATCCCTACTTCCAGCCTTATACCCTGGACTTATTATGGCGTCTTTCCAGTCTCTAGGAAGTCTGGACTGTCTCAGAGACATGTCGAATAGTATCGCTAATGGTTCAGCAATTTCATCTGATATGGCTTTCATAATCCTAGGATGGATATCATCGGGACCAATGGACTTATCAGATTTGAAATGCTGAAGTAGCCTTAAAACAGTATCTTTCTCAATGACTACAGGATCCATCAGCGAGCCGTCACGGTCACGATGAATCATTGGCCGTTCCTCATTACCGATAGAAAACACTTTACCAAAATATTCCGATAAAGCTTCAGCTTTTTCGGCATCATACTCTGCTAAGATTGACGGATTGTCTCGTATCAAAAGTGATGGAATTCCATCGCTTCTCTTAGTTCGCCTTTTTATATACGAGAATAACCGTTTCGGACTATATCTAGAATCCCTAACCAATTTTTTTCGTATGAATGTCTAGTCTTGCTTATTAACGCTTTACAGGCTTTCCTAATCTTACAATAACTGGATCTGTATTGTTCTAAGCCAGTAGAGATGAACATATTCCAGTGATTCTTCCTTTTTCTAAGGAGTTTCCTGACCGTTGTAGTTATCCATGGTGGACTATTATTCGGTCTTCGCGGTACCAGTATTTTTCTCTGGCTACGGACAATGGATTGATCAAAGAATCATAATAATATTCCGAATCCAAAACAAAACATTACTTTTTAATTAACAAATATTTTGGACCCAGTTACGGTCACTAAAATGTGCAGTGAATTCCAAGGCTATCAGAATGGATCATAGATATTTCTAACTAAAATGAAGTCTCTGGGTTTTAATGAGTGACTAGTTAGCTTAGTGTAGAACCATATAACGAAGATATTACAAACTATCCGAAAACGTGCATTATTGTCTAATTTCCCTCCTTATTAATTACGGAACAAAAAAAGAGATTTACAGACCAACCTAGTAATTGCGGTTATCAAGTTGTGCTATGTGTAAATGATTCCTCTTTTTGTGGAGAGGTTTCATATTTTTGAGAAGATGTTGCGCTGCAAGAAGTCTTCAGAAAATACAGACCTTCAATATTAAAATCATTAACGTTTTTAACGTGGCTAAATGCTACTTTGAAGCCCGGTAAGAAACGCCCTCCATTTTGAATGAAAACTTGATCAGTATTTTATGTATCAATTTTTTTAGTCTCAGCAATCTGTAAAGAAACCAATCTACTATGTCATGATGTTTCTCTTAAGAAATTCAGCTGCTTTTGTCTGAGAACTGTTCGGAAGCATTTTCTCCACAAACTTGGCAACTGATGTTTGCAAGTGATGTGCTGTAAGTTCCTCTTAACTCGAGAAGAAAACTATCCTTCTACAAAAAGAGTATGGATAACAGCAGCCAAAGAGGTACTTCGAGTAAGGAGTTAACAGATACAAGCTCGCCTGGAAGTGCCAAAATACATACCCGTGCAGTACGTACGGATAAAAATGGACGTGATCTTAATGCATGGTGATACAATTTTCGTCATCCCAGAAGACCTGTTATGTGTCTTAGTACTAGCCCATACCCATAAGTAAATCACTTAACCTCAAAACGGAGGAATATATACGAAAATATGTCTTCTTCGTAATGAGTATCTCAACAGCGAAAAACCACACCCAAAATTTATGGTGATTACACTATCTCTTGTCTTCCTCAAATGAAGACTCAACATGTGCTTCGGTTTCAACCTCGATATGTCTGCTGTAGGGCACGTAATTGTACGCTCATATATGCAAGAAAAATCTCACGAGGCTGAGGTATATTTAAAGCATAAATCACTCTTATTACGCCAAACTGCAATCGAGAGTTAACTGAAGTTAGGGAGTGAGGTAGACGCCTATAAACATACCGGCATCAATCCATGTTGCACTAAAGACCACATCCTTTTGACACAAGAGATTGTCTGTCAATTGTAAATATATCACAAAATAAGACTTTTGACTCTTAAACGGTCAACCAACTCTGGCTCATTATTGGATACAACCTTAACCTCATTATCCTTATCAAACAAACAGTTGAAAGGTTGTATTCATCAACTCCTTGTTCAGCTTCATAAAGTTTGAGACATCGTTGGAGACTGTTCAGCCTATACCTCACCTTCTTCACTAAATCGTGAGGTCAGGAAAAGCCTTTGATCATCTGGACAGAGTTTGTTAAACAAAAATCTCCTATCGAGATTATTACATTATTGCCAAAGCACTCATTACTACTGTATATAATGTGAACATGATACCGCCTGTCATCCGATATTGAGCGTTAAAACGTTTGTCTGTTTAAATTGAGACCTCTCGCTCCAACTGATCAGTGATCGTGCAGTAAAGACTTACTACCATCATGAAAACAGGTTCTGCAATTGACAAGTCCTTGTTTCGAAGACGAAAAGATTATCTATGTATATGCTCAATAACGGCTTAGCCTTCTGGCAAATCAAAGTTGTTGTCTCCGTTTGATTAAAGTTTAAGGTATTTCGCATATCGTATTTTAAATATCAAATCTATTTTTTCCATATTTATATTCCGTTAAGGTATTAGTTGTTAACAGGCGTAAGTGGGTAAGTAAGCAAGATATTATTTCGATATCGTTAAGTGTTAAACCCAGTACAACGTGAGAAGCAGGAAACTAACCATAACCTGTGGAGATAGATACTGTTATGAATACATCCTCTCTCCCAGGATTTGATCATAGTTCTTCTGAGTCTAGACTTACTCAGTTGAAATGCCGCTTCACGGAGCCCAGCATCAAATCTGAGGGAATTTGACACTGAGATTTATGCTCCGTACTCCCTTTTTTCTCTGAAGAAGAAGTCCGTAAATCAATTTGAATTTCTCTACATCATGACCGTAAACCATTTTCAAAGGCGAGACAGCGGACCTCTTATCGTTATAATACAGCCAAATAATCCAAGGGCTTTTCTAAAAAGAGAAACTAGGTGACGAGTCATCATCCCAATTCTTCTTTCACCTCCATGTATAACTTGATGACAACACCTTTGGTGAAACAGACCTGAAGCAGGGATGGACACAAACTGCCCTATGCAACGTATAACACCGTCTGGATGCACAAGACGCAAGCACTTGTTTACCTCGATTAGTATGTGTAGCAGGTAGGATTATGGAGAGAACCTCCCAAACGGATCACATATGATATACCGCATAAGAAAAGAAAAATCACCGAACGATGCACTTATAACAGAACTTAAAGTCTGTCGGAGGCCGTTGTCGTAATGCAGAGACCACAGAAACCGGAGCAGGTCACCACAATGACTTAAGTCCAGTTCACAGTGCAGATCACGACCATCCAGACAGTCTGGACAGTCATATTGAATCTACTGGGAGTTTGGTGTCAAATCAATCGGGTTCAACTGTAGAAATATGGTCTAATTTGATGTCAAGTTAACTAATCTATGCTAGTCGAATAATAGCCATAGTTCCAACATTGTAGATGAGCTATGATGTGATTACCTAATTCATAAGATCCTACGTGGAAGTCACATTATTGCATACGCTGACTCGCCCTATTGTTGCTGTCAGCAGAATGGTTTCTAGCACATCTGAAGACCTCATTTGGGCTGGAGATATCGTAATATATTAAGTATGAAAGGAAGTCACATAGAGTGACCATATCTGCATGACTTGACCTTGCCATGCCGATTAGGTATTCCGATGTTTAACATCTCTGACCTCTACATGTTAAATGTTGGGTGTGGATTTTCTCAGCTGTCATATGTTCGGCTCTAAGGGTCGTGCGGATAAGAACCAATACCACTACAGGTTCGTGTGTTTAAATTCGAACCTTTTACTCTAATTGTTCCAAAAGCCTACCACGGCCGCCATACCCAAGCAACACATAAAGGGGAAATAAAGGGGTAAATGCTTTGGTAGCAAAAGGGGAAATAAAGGGGAAAACGCATCAGAATGTTGCCTTTTTCGTCTGTCCGGAGGAAATAATGTGGATTTTCTCCTTTTTCGCCTTTTTGTTGACAAATTACCGATTTATCGCCTAAATATCTGCCAAACGTTATAACGTTGTTTTTTCTGTTTGCAGCTAAGGGTTAGTATAGGCTCAACAGATATTATCAAGTGCTATTCTTGTTTCGCTTTCAATTTTTCTTGTCGTTCTAATCTTCCGTCACAAACCTTGTTATCCAACTTATTTATGAGTTTCGAGATAAGAGTCTTGCTTACGAAGTTGGTTAAAGTTTCTGTCAAGTGATGCTGTCTTCTACTGGAATACCGCTCAATTGTAATTAGTTGTATGCGTTCTGTTGACCGATTAAAAATTGAGAAGGTGCAACGCCGTTTCATAAGACTTCTCACGCTCGATTTATCATATAAAGATATATGGGAAGCAAGGGAAACGCATCCTTTTTGGTCAAGACTAAATAAACTCGATCTTAATTTACTTCCCATAATTTCATATAACAAAACTACAGCACATCGTGATACTTTAAAATTTGCCAAAAGTAGTGACTATAACCTTCAGAACCAGGATTTTGTACTAAAGATATCAAGAAGATCAAGCAAATCGAGGTCAGCTTTCTTTATCACACGCTATGCAATCCTCTGGAATAGATAACCATTTGACATCCGGTCAAGCCGGACGCCTGCTCGATTTAAATATTCCCTAAACTGATATGTGGACCGATTTGGAGCGTCCCACATGCTCGGTGGAGCCAAACGTAACCAGGCTGCATCTAACGATGGTCCATCCAACATCTAACCGACTGGCATCTAGAGATAATGTCACAAACTACAGTTATTCGACCCCCAAAATCTGTCATTTTACATTTAATATGTCGCTGCTTAAAAAGTGCTATATTAATTTCCTTTTGTTATACGCTTCATAATCGCTGTTCACAAATATTAAAAATCTGTTTCTTGACTTTAATTTGATCAGCACAACCATTTATATTGTTGCACACATCGGGCCTTAGAAATATCTTGAACTGCAACCCAATAAAACACAATACAACTATAGACTGCTTGGGTGGGAAATCAGATCTGTCCGATCATAAGAAGCTTTGAAAATATCCGAAGTTACTGTGAGTTATTTCTGGTTCATATTCTACCAGCATGAAAATTCGTTTGCTACTAGTATATAAACATTGTTTTTTCCGACTTATCGTCTTACTTTGAAATTTTTCAGCCGTAAACTCCTCTACCATATTCTTTGATCAGACATTTTCCCTTATCATCTCTAAACCACATATCATCTGACCAGCATCTTATAGCATATACCATTAGTTATCTTCATAGCACTGTGACTAACAAACAGGTGTTTAGCCGACAACAAAAATGCCTTAGCCATCTGGTTTTCTTGTAACATGGACCTAGTAGTGAAAGTGTATTCCAACAAGGTGTGCAACATAGAGCCTAGATCAAACCAGTATTCATATACACCGCAAACGTAAGAGAGCCTGACAACACGAAAGTAGGGAGTGTGACGTTGCTGACCAGCATACCTGTGGGCAGAATACTTTATTAGATTACTGCTGCTTATGGTCAGGAGGGATGTCATAAAGTAATGATACTGATGTCAATCTCTGATGTAACTCTGAGTTGGTTTCACTTCCTACCGAGAAATCCCATTGCAAGCAAGACAGGACAATAACGCCATATATGAGTCCACCCATGACTCAAAAAAGTTATAGCAATAAAAACCTGTTATAATTGGTGTGAAGAAAAAAAAACTAGTTGGTTTTCGAACACTGTATTTTCTTTAATAAATTTTAAGACCACACATAATCCTAAACTTTCCGCGTCTTTATCAATCATCTTTTGTGGAAGTCACATCATCGTCTACATCAACTCACTGCATCGTAACAATTACCAATACATGATGGAGAACAAGCTTAGGCCAGAGATAGAACGACATATTTAATATAAATAAAAGATATAGGGTAACATTCAGCAGGGACCACGCCTGCATGCTATCCAATCAACTACAACCAATTCAATTCATTGTTCCCGCCCTCTCCATCGTTAGGTATTTCTCCGCGTTAAATATTGAATATTTATGTTACGAGTAATCTCGTGTTCAGCGTTCAGGATTGTGTGGTTATGGCCCAATGCCACTACAGATTGGCGTTTTTTGTCTTCCAAAGGAGTTGTCTGCCCCACAGGCATATCCAGAGTCTAAGCTGATTAGGAAATGTACTGAAATATTTTTTTATCAAAACTTCATTTGTAGACGTCACTTTCAGTTTAATTGGAGCATTGTCTTGGACATTTGTCTTTGCCGTTTGGATTATTACTTTCCTAAATTTCCGTGTTAGTTTGGGTGAATTTGGGGACCGTTCGTCATTTAATATACGAATATATTATGTATAGATCAAAGCTAAAATATTTGCACAAAACGTTCTTAATGGAAACCCACATGTGTTCATGACCAATTACTGTGCACATAAATATCATCATATCACTCAAAAGTAAAGGTTCATCAAGTTAGTCACGTGAGTTTGTGTATGGCCTAGGTTTAGTTATCCTATTTTACCCTACATCTGTTTGAAGACCATGCTTGCCGTTTACTGGTTTGACTTTATCTTGCTTAAATGAAGTTATTCTGGCATCCATGTGCATAATTACTTGTACTCCTGGGTCTGACTTAACGGTTGTTTGAATCGTAGTAGCCAATATACCATCTTGAAGCTTACTTCGAAAATACATCTTCGCATAACGCTGAGTTGCTTGCTTGGCTACAATATACCCGCTATGCACTGATTTCTTTATCTGCCTCATATAAGACTCGAATGTTAGGGAGGAAAAGAATCTGAAGGTTCATGTGAACTAACTTCATCAAGTATGTGCTCCGACAAAGGTATATTATAAACTACGTTTACCTGTCCATAACAGCACTCATATTCATTTAGAAAATTAGGTAAAT